CAGGCAAGCTTCAACATTATGGGCAATTGCAGCAAGGGGCACGCTTCAGCCTTCCCCTGAGGAGCTTCCTCCCCATACGGATGAACCTGGCATGAGGGAATATGACATTCTAGAATGGGAATAGGGGATGCTACATGGGGCATGCAGGCAGGTTGAACAAGCCATTTCTCGAACCAGCGCGGCAACCGATCCAAACCACACTGCTACGAAACGTGCATACCCTGGGGCCTTCTAGGGATCTGAGTGCTTTTGGACAATAAGCATAATTCAGAGGCTTCCCCTTAAGATTGTAAGTACCAGGGTTGCATCCCCTGCGCTGCAAGCAGCGTCAAGACACGCTTGCGGAGCCGAATTTGGCAGCCTTCAATGTGCACTCATCAACAAACTTCGTATCGCTGAGTATTATTTGAGGGCACCTGGCACAAGCTACCATGCAAGATCCATAACATGGAAAATCCAACCAAATTGGGATCCATGAAGCCTGATTTAATCAGGCCTTTCGGTTCCTCTTGTTTGGCCCTCGAGGTCTGTAGTTGGGGCGCTTGCAAATATGGCAACCTTTGCGCGAAAAGCGGCAGGTCGGGCAACCAAGCTCACGCTCAGCATGCTCCACTGCCTCCTTGGACTGCCTGCCTTTCTGCTTGCCATTCTTAGGCGTTGCTGGTGATGAAGTGCACTTGGTTCCCTTTCCCTTCCCCGCATTCGCCTTTGGCCGCCCTCCTTTCCCCTGGGGTCGAACAGCATCATGGTTGGTGCTACCACTTGAGGCTGCCGATGCCGCTGCAATCTTGCCCTTCTTGACCTGGGGGCTGTCCTTCTTGTTGCCCTTACCTTTACCCTTGCGGTCTTTGATCTCCTTCCGCACTGCTGTGCGCAAATTGCGCTGAGCGGCAGGATCGACTTCTGGCAGGATGTCAGCCTTGTAATGGGTAAAGTCTTTTAAGAACATGACTTCTGGAGGATTTCTTCTTGTGATTCTGTAATCCGGATACATAATATGGGTTCTAGGGGATGTTGTGGATGTTTTGCAAAACATGGATGAACTTCTCGATTTTCCCGTGTGTCAGAGCGAACCTTTCAGAAGATTATATACACCCAAATCTTAAAACCCACGCCCTACAGAGACTTTATAAACCCCAACCCTAAACCCTATGAACCCTAAAAACCCTATAAACCCTATTAACCCTACTAAACCCTATTAAACCCTAAACTCTGGCCTAATAAACCCTATAAACCCTATAAAACCGTAATCCTTGAAACATCTTACTCTACCCACCTTGCGCTTCATACCATTCTCGCTCGATTTGTCCGAGGTTGCAGGCGAGCCCACGAAGTCAACATCCATGATGTTCACGGGCTGCGTCTCGTCCTGCAAACATGGACAGGGTGTTTGGGTAGCGAGCCTCTATAGGACACTAAGCTCAAGTAATGGGACTCCTTCCATTTTCTTGCGTAGTTTGTGCTAGGGTCTGGGGGACTCTTGCGATCAAGGTTTTAATATGCATGCACCTTTTTACATCGCTCAGCCTTTCAATTTTGCTTGAGTAATCCTATGTGTAGACTGCTGTGTTCCACATGAACATACATTGGGCTTGCCTGGTCGGGATTCGAAGCAGGCGTGATGCTCATAGCGCGGGGATCACCTGGGCGTACCACATACTAAGTCAGAGGATGTAGATTGGGGGTAGATTTTGAAGAATTACCCAACAAAAGTGTTACAGTATCTTTCGATTAGCAACCCTTGGTCCTTCCTGAAGTCGAAGATTCTGGGCTGCGCCTTGATCGTCCATACAGGTTGTATAAGGGGCCAATGGGAAACGCACACAGTGTATGTACTTATATAGTAGGTAAACATGATTGATTTCAAGGCCCCCACTTACTCAACTCCAGAGCTTGGATCTGCTTCAGAAGATCTTCAAGTGCTTGCCGGTCTCGGGACTTCCCACAAGAAACTATCTGAACATCATCGTCCACAATGGAACCCTTGCGGACAACGCGTCGGCAAGGGGTGGTCTTCTTGGGCAAGGTTGCTGGCGCTGCATCTTTCAGGGCCGTTTTGGGGGGAGTTGCGCTGGGGCTTGGGCTGGTACTCGAGGATGCGGCACCTGTGTCGCCCTCTAAGATTTCATCATCTGTAAAACCATCCTCCTCTTCCTCTCCTTCCTCATCCGAAGCATCATCCTTGAAATCCTTACTCTCCATCTGCGATTTGCACACACCCTTCAACAGCTTTGGTCTAGAATCCCCTGACTCCCGAATGTGGCGAATCAACTTGAAGAGCTTTTGGATCTTCTTGTCCTAGATTGATGCCCACACAAAACACAAGACTATGTTTCCTTTCGAACAATTTAAGAAGCTTCAAAACAAAATTATATACAATGTTTATCTACAGGCAGGCTTCAGGCGGAGTTTGGCCCCTTTTGTAAGCATCAGCTTCTCTACGGTGGCTGTACCCAAAGAGCTTCCGCAACCCCCACGCTTCATTGTAGACATCCGTGGTATTCACAGGCCATTCCATGTTCTCGTGGAAAAGCTCAACCTGACTATTTGAGATAAATAGGATCTCAATCAAACCCTTTTAAACGTAATGGGGACCTGCAAAAGTGTTTTCACAACATGCTAGATGAGCCCAAGAGCCAAAGTGATCAGGGGCTTCAGTACTGGAGTGTCCAACGATTTGTATTCCTCGAACATCGCATGCACCATTGGCACATTCAACTGCAATGCCACAGCGCTTGGTTCGTACTTCTGTTCAGGATCCTCAGTACCCCACTGCAGCCAATCAACTTTCTGCGCCTTGCGCTTCTTTGAAAGCGCCAGGTTTTGCCAAGATTTTGCAATCCTAGCCACCGGCATAGCCCGAACCCTGACCAATCCACGAACCTACAATGCTACAGCCAGCTGGAAGCAGCTATACAAGAGCCAGCTCACAACAGCAAATATGGATCGCATCGAATGTTTCAGGGCTAAATTGGTATAGCCCTTTTAATTTGTAGACCCCTGTTGAATACATATACTGGATTCTCAGGAGCAAAGAAATGGTATACTTACAACACGAGTAAACCAAAATGCTTGTATTCCTCCACTATATGTAAGGCCCTTGGTGTGGGGGGTATAACATACACATATGGGGTTATAAACTTTAAGTTGAGGAAACCCTTGAACCCCTAAAGCCCTTAATTAAACCCCTTATCAAATTTGAGCCCTGCCCAGGAAGAAGCGAGCAGGATCACCATCGTCGAGGGTGATGATGAGGTAGGGTCCTGCCGGGATTTGTTCTAACATTTTGGGCTGGAATTGTTTGTGGGTTTGTTTCGTTTTTCGCGCAGCATCGTGGACTCTGTGCACCCCCACTGTGGCTCCTCTAGAACGCAGTAGTCGCGAAGCCACCAATCATCAAAACCTGCATCGCAAAGCTAAAAAGCTATGTATTAAGTATATATAAGTATAGCTAAGGGGTTAACATTCACAATGCCTTTACTTTTCGGTACCGGGATGGAGAGGGAGCCCATAAGGATGCATCTTGTGCCCCTATAACTGCATATACTTATGATGTTCAAAAGGATGGGCTAGGGAATGCAAGGAGGGTTCCATAGCCGTCGATCATGCTTGCCAGCATTAACATCACAAAGCCGCATATAGAGGGCATATATACTACATTATATATGTTATATTGCTATGGGTTGATCCAGGAAGTGTTCCCATAGTATAGTAAGGCCTTCAAGGGATCTGGATTTGTTAGGTATATCTGGGGAAAAGCCTTACGCTAGTCTTATCGGACACGCAACAAAACTTTTGCATCATAGGCCCCTCGTGGGATTTCTCACACCATGCAAGAACCCTTGTACAGCCCCGAACCCTGTCTATATAATACATATACTATACACTAATATATATATATCCCCATGATAGAAAGCCCACACTCAATTTATGCTCACCCAAAATAAGCTGTAACAAACTGCCCTGACCCCGGCCTGGGCCAGGGCAGCGAGCTCGATCGATCATCACATGAGCGAAGGGCCGGCAAAGGTTGTGCACGATTATTGATATTCTTACGGTATTGGGGCTAACTTGGGTTTGTTAAGATTCTACAATCCTGGGTGGGCATATAAAACTTATGGTAGTCTCAACCCTGGACCCTGGATCCCTCGAATCTCTATCCAAATAACAAGATGCAGCTTCGGGGTCATTCTTGGATTCATATAGCCAAATTTCTGCAAAACTCTCGACAAAGCTCGAAGCTTGAAAAGAAGATGTGTTGCAACATGTGCAGTTGCAGGTTTTCGTCCCCAGTGGCAACATTACATGCCACTCCAGCACTTCAGGTTAGTCATAGGAAAAGTGCTCAACTGGCGCGGGCCAGGTAGTCCCTTTGTGGGCTGTCTTTTAAAGTGTACCTACAATGACTGAAGAGATGATTTCATGGGGACGATCTTCCTCATTGTTCAGGCTTAGGGTTTATAGCTTAGGGTTTAGGTTTCAGGTTTAAGGTCCCTAAACCCTAAACTACAGTGAAGGACCTGCCTGAGCCGCCCTGTAACACGTACGGGTTTCGCGAGATATAATGGGGCCTTTTGTATACAGTACCCGAATCGCGACAGGCCTCTAATCATGCAACCCCCCAAGAAAGGAGGCCTAATTTGAAAAGCCTTAAAAAACCCTGCAAACTTACTACAAACCCTATGTAACCCCAGTATCCTTTTCATTGTAACTGAAACCCCTAGACTCTAAACCCTGCACCCTAATGTCAGCAACCCTGAACCCTACGGAATTTCTGGAACCCTAAGCCTTAAACCCTAGATCATGGAACCTATAACCTAAAACTCGAATTTCTGGAGCCCTAAAACTTGATTTCTGGAACCGTAAACCGCTAAGAATCCAGTAGTAGGGTAATATGTCCCTGTACTACCCTAAACCCTATAAGCCCGAATTTCCGGAACCCTGAACCCTAAATCCTAAACAATATATTACCTTGGCGAACCCTGCACTGTGGCCCGAGCCAGCTGTTGAGCCGGTCTGTGTAGGTTTGTTTTTTACCTGTGGGTCTGAGCTTTAGGAGTTTAAAGGTTAAGGGTTTAAAGATTTAGGGGTTTAAGGTTTTTGGGCTTTCAGGGTTTCGGGGTTTAAGGGTTTAGGGGTTTAAAGATTTAGGGGTTTAAGG